TGTCTCACTTAACATAAATTTTGGGCTCAATTGTGATTGTAAGTCGAGGACTACCTGTGTTACTTCAACAAAGTCAGTTAAAAAGAACCAGTGGTCTTTAGGAAAGCTATTCCAAAGCCAGGATGTCAACCTTGTAGATCTTTTCATTGCCATCTCCTTCATGGACCTCTGCTAATGACTTAAAGGCATTTGTTATGGGAGAAAGCATTCCCTGAAATGTAGCCATCATTATCTTTGGTTTGCCTTAAATTTAAATCCTCTTCTGACATTTGTGTACATTAAAAAAAAAGCACAGCTTGGAATATGCAATACAAAGTAGACAACTGCAGTACAGTTTGGCTCTAGCTATAAGGAAAGCATGGTCATCGCAGGTGGTGGGAAATTTCACACTCTTCTGCTGGTATCCATGGTGATGCCAACACTTGCTACTGAAATAGTGCTTGGGTGATATCAGTGCAACATGTTCCTGAGGTGTCCATAGGGCATGGTGTAGGTTTCTCAACATGAGGCTTTGCTTTATCTTTTGAACAAAATCAACTGGACCTATTTTGTACTTTCTGGATCACAGAAAATAAGGAGATTGGGGGAAGGAAGCCAGTGGGCAACGTGAGAATTTCTACACAGCTTTTTCTCACACCTACGAGCAGAATAACAGATGCACTACTACCCTATGGAAATTGGTACATGGAGAATGTCCCTTATACAGCTTTCTCTGGTCTGGTACAAGTTTTAAAATGCCCAACCTGCTGTAATGGCTGGGAAATTTGAAATCTGTATTTTGGAAACAAAACTGTGTTATAAGTTTCTGCTGAACTGCTGCCTTCCCTTGAAGCGAGTTTTGGAGGCTTTAAAGTTCTTATTTAACTAGTATATACTCTTCTTCCTCTATTTCTATTGCCAAAAACCATGGTTTATATGATTTCCAAGATCATAAAGCTGCATCGTTAACAATTGCATTCATTTCCCCCCCAATTTATTTAAGGTATTTCTAAACTGCATTTCAAGATAGTGGCCCTCCTATGGCAGCTAGCCATTGTTAGCATGTAACATGTAAACTGAGCAATATGGTATGTCTAAGCAGAATCTTACTTGTCATGGTTGCTAATATCTAGTTATGACACTTAAGGTTTTGAAATATTACCAAAAATGCAAACTGCTTATCATGAATGAATACAAAGGTACTAAGCCTGATGCCAATGCAGTTAGATGTTTTTTTTTTATGTTTCAGGGTTTTTTTCCCCTTCTGGTGACCAAACTGGTGGTTGGAACCATTATGCACAGGATACAAGAAACTTCAGTTTCCTCCTGCTCCTTGGTGTTCTTGTTTAGGTCAAAAATACAGAAAACCAGTAGATGGAAACAAAAGTTTGCAAAGGGATATGCTACCATCGAGTGGCCATCTGTGTTTTAGCAGCTCAGAGAAGTTTTACCTACTTTACCCCCACCTTGTATCATCCATGCAGGCCACAGGTTAAGGGTTTGGAAGCAGAAGAGAGACATGTACAGTTCTTTCAAATGCTTTATAGTTCGTGTAAACATACCCTCTACATATTATGGCTACAACATGGCTAAGCATAATGTGCAACCGTATTATGAAACCATACTAAATATGCATGTTAAATTACCTTTCCACTTTGAAGGAAGGAAATTTCTTGCTCGGATTTTTGTTTTTACTATTACTAAAATGCAAATGAATGGCTGCACTGAGCCAGTCCGCAGAGCCTTCTCACACAAGATATAAGCTCCTTATCCAAGCTTTGCATTAGGGATAATTTGAAAGGAATTGTGTAGGAAGATCTCCTATTGGGTTTCAATTCCAATTCAATATTGGAATTCAAATTGCTGGTCAGTGGGGGGTGGGAGGGAGAACGAGAGGACAGGTAGGAGGATAATGTAAAAAAAATTTTTTTTGTCAGAAGATGAACATCAGATCCTCAGACTCCCCACCTGGTTGACTTGGTTTATAAAACCAGTAAATACAGAACCACACTTTCCTGTATTACTCTCCAGGGATGCCTTAGGAAGATAGAAAGAGTTTATAACATTTGCATAATTGCAAGTGATGTAATCACTTATACGGTATGGGTGTTCACGATGGTCTTTAAGTAAGGAAACCAGGCTTGGATACTTCAACAGCAGGATAATTAAAAACAAACGATGCCTGGGCTGTTCTACAACCCCTAAGTGTGCAGCCATGAAGTAGCTTCCCCTTGACTTTCATGTCAATAGGCCACAGAAGGTGATCACATGACCTCAGGACACTACAATGGTCATAAATAGGAGTCTGTTGCCAAGTGGCTGGATTTTAATCACGTGACCATGGGGATGCTGCAATGGTCTGAAGTGTGAAAAATGGTCGTAAGTCGCTTTTTCTGTGCCGTTGTAACCTGAGTGAACTGTTGTGTAAGTGAACTGTTGTATATCTGTACAACCATTGTAAATACAAGTAGCCAAAGGCCCACCTTGCGATCACATGAGCAAGGGGGTGTTATGACAGTTGTAAACTTTGAGGATAGATCCTAATTCACTTTTCCGAGACTGTCATAACTATGTACTGACGTTAAACGAAAAAAGCTCTGTATTACCTGCATATCAAAAGCATGAAAACATAACCAAGTTTTTAAAAAAATCAATTCCATTCCTATTACCGAGAAAACTGTTAGGTATGAGGGATCGCTCCTCCGGTCTCCTGTAGTCATGAAAGACCCCACTATGTTTAACATCTTAGTAAAGCTCTTGAGATCAACCAAAATGTCATCTTTCCAGTTACCATTCACATTTAGATTCCAGAACAATACAGCAGTGGCTTATGTGGAAGCAGGCCAGGTTAGCTGTAGCAGAGCCAGCAAACAAGGCTTAATACAGCACCATGAAACTGTGAGACATTACATGGAAACATCCTTGGGAGGAACTGCCGATATATAAACAAGCTTTAACCCCTCTCTTCAATACCTCACATCCCTCTTTAAAAACAGATCACATTTCCTGCAATGTGCTTTTGATTATCATTTTCAACCTTCAAGATATACCCTTGATCCCGATGGCCACTTCTGGATTGGAGCAGCATACAAGTCCTAGTAAAATAAATAATCTTTGAGATGCGTTTTACTTCCTCTTTCATAATCATCAATCAGCTTGTCTACTTGAGGGAACATTCCTATCCATTAAGGTCATGAGCAACCAAGGGATTTGACAATATTGTTTCAGAAAAACACGGTTCTATTAGTAGGAGGGACGTGCCCTGGTTGAGATAGGTTTGCCAACTTCTGTAATTTTTCCTCTAGTTTCTATCACACTGGATAGGATTTTAAGAGTTAAGGATTTGTTAATATTTGACTGTAATCAGCTTTGACAATGGGTAATAAAATTAACCTATCAATATTTTCTTCAGCGGTTGTCTGATTAACTGGGAAACACAGCCAACATCTGACATTTACATTCTCCTACCAATTACTTCATGGCACTGAAGAATTTAAGTCCAGGGCGATGAGGGCAGTGAGACTAAGAAATATAGACAGGAAGGTCTAAGATACAGAACGAGGCAAACGTTCAGCCAGAAAACTTTTTCAAGCTCTCTGAGAAAGAACCTATCAATGGGGACAGATAGGGAAGGGGAGGCTAGCAGTACGCCCTCTGCCCGTGGTTTGTACGTCACGGCAGGAAGGCTGCGTTTGCAGATTGCGGTATGCCACTGAAATGATCAAGTAAAAATGTAGTACAGATTTTGTATTAGTTATGAAGTTACATACTGTAGTTCACGGCTACCTTTAGTTGAAGGCTGGAGCTTCTTCGGGAAAAGAAATTTGCATTTGGAACAAGCATTTGTGATAAAACCTAAATCATCTTCAGGCCATAAGAATACAGAGAATTAGAATACATTATAACTTTATAGAGTTGGGGTAGGAAACCTTTTGGTTTTGCTAAATGATCACTGTTAAATCCATTCCTCTGTTCCTACTCCCAGGATTGCATTGAGTTGGCATAGAAACTACATCAGGGCTAGACAACTACAGCAGTTCCACAAGCACTAACCCCCCCCCCCCCAAATACACACACACAGCCCCAGGAGAATAGGAATAGCTCCACCAAAGAAAGCCTTGTGTAAGCTTTGAGCTGGTGTTTAAAAGGCAGCAAAGTCCGTGAGGACAAGGACAAGACACCTTCAAGATAAGGACCAAGTTGGGGGGGGGGGCGGGGGCTATGTTAATTGCACAACCTCTGCTACAGTTTGAACTCCTTCAAGCAGGAAACTGCTTTAAGTTTCTTTGCTGAGGGAAATTGAATTGGAACACAACTCCTTGGGATAGGAGCATGTCTGAATCCAGGAAACTAAAGTACAATGCATACAAGCTCCTCAGGGACACACCCTGCCCCCCCCCCCTGAAAGACACAGGTTGAATTCGTATTTCAATCTGAGATGTAATTTTGCTAACACTAGATGGCTGCATAAGCCACAATAAACCCCAGCACCTGAATTCACACTTAAGCATCATGAAAACACATCACGGCCTACCTTCCGATTTGAAGCAGATCTGTTAGACTGGCACAGTGAGAGCACTTCCTTTTCTGGCCCTCATTTGCATTTCAGGTTTGATCTCTGAAGAAAGCTATTAAAATTAGCTACCCTACTGACATATCTCAGAACAACAAAGCTCTGGGGTATGTTAACATCTCTATCCCTGACATACATTCTTAGAATGTAGACTGTTAAGTCATTCATTCCTTCTGCGTAAATACTTCAAATTTCTCTTCACCTTTTAGCACTCTCTCCTGCTGGAAGAAAAACACTAGGATGTCATGGTATCCCCAATGTTTCAGGTACCCAGAAACACAGTATTGAGTTTGGCTCCTAACCAAGGTACACAAGACATTAGAGGAATGAAAGTATTACAAACTTGTCACTACCTACTCAGCTTCTACCTTCCCTGTTTTAAGGAGCTCCCAAAAGGAATTCAGCCAAATTATGGCCATGTACAGCAAATGGAGAAGACAGAACTTTCCTGGAGGCTAAACAACACTTTTAATTCCACCTGAGTCATCAAGAAGAGTATGGATCAGGAAATCACAAAGCGATTTAGCTAAGTCCAAGCCTGTTCTCTAAGGCCACGTGGCACACAGTAGTGTTTTCTCTTCATGGGCTTTGCAGATTTGGTTTTCATTAGTTCTTCTCGTTCCTGTTCTTACTGGCAAGGAAAAAGCAGAAGCATTATTCCATCTATTTCCCCAGGCACTGAGCTGTATTGTAAACCGGGGGTGTGGGTGTGTGTGTGGGGTTGTCTAATAAAGCCCTTTTAAGAAACCCCATCTGTGTGATACCCAGGACACCACCAGAGCAGGACCTTGCATTCCTTCAGGTGCTCCCTTGCCATTTGCTTGAAGAAATAAAAAATAAATGTAACCCTTCTGGAGCAATTCAGAGGTGAAGACACACAACTCAATGTTTCTTCAGTCATAGTTATGAAGAGCTTAGAGTAAGACTGCCCTCTGGTGAACAATGCAAATGCAGCCGTTATCTTGTCCAATCTGGGAACAGGCAACTTTCAAGTCCCCTTCATTGTTTAACTACCAGCCCAAAGTAAATTGAATACTTTCAAAATCAATACAACATGATGGGGTATTATTGATATATGAACCATCCTCTCAAGGGAAGTCTATTTATCTCACAGCCCAGCCTTCAAGTGTTAACTAGTGAAGGGACATTCAGGTTTTCTATGAGGAGCATCATGTGGGTGGCATTGTTTCACTCTGCTCTTAAGCCCACCTAGTAACCCACAAATGAAGATGAGAAGTGGCTCTGTCATTAAAAACAAAAAGTATGCCCACTGCCCAGATCTACGAAGCTGAAGAGGGCCCGAGCCATAACAAAGCCCTCTGCTATGACTGTACTCATTTGTTTTTGAGAAGCTATCAGAAGCCAAACTTATGTTCAGCCTCTTCATGCTGTGGGACTCTGGAGGCAAAGGAAAAAGCAGGCGGCCTGGGAAGCACACGAAGCATAAACCCTTAGCAAGCCATTTAGACTTCTCCCACAGCAGGAAACAAAACTTATTTCTTCTAATGAATGAGCCCATCAGCCTTGCATTATTCCCCAGTGCCCAGGCCTAGGAGTGCATTAACCTCAAGAGCACACTGAACACGGAATCAACTTCTCGAATCTCCACTAGCAGCCTAACACAAGAAGCTGGAACTACTAATAGAAGAGATGCTCCCATCTTGGCACACAAAACCCACAGATTTAACAAGGTTCAGAGATTCCATCCTTGCCAAAAGAAAACAGCCTTTCAGAAAAGCCAGTGAGAAATGAGTCAAGAGGAAGGCCAAGAAGTTCCACAGAAGTTCTTTCCTCTGGATAGCCGAGCAGTGACAACATGCTCCAACGTGTTATCAGGAACTGAGAGAGCGAGAGCGAAAGACAGGGAGGCTCTGCTGGCATCTGAGGCAGGTCTGTAGCTGAAATCTGGTCGCAGAAAGCATTTGGCTTGGAAGGTTTAAGAGTCACCGTTTAATCCCGTTTAAGTTACAAAAAGGAGGAGTGTGCACGCTACAAAATAACCTTGATATGGGAACATTAACCAGTTACAGCTTCCATTCTGTGCAGAAAACCTGCTCCAGTATGGCTGGGTAAAGCCAGCAAGGAGGCCTCCTATACCCCAGGCGTGCTGGGATTCCGAGATTCAATGCAGAGATACCCCGCAGGTAGTGGAGTTAAGATGCAGCAATCAATTCTGGCTTTGGTTTGATTCTGATGGGCGATTTTTCTGTGGAGAAGGAAAAACACACACACAAAGAGGAAGGAGTTATTGGTTTTGAATGGTTCTAGAGACAGTAAATTCTAAGCAGCGGTTTATGCAATCCTGCCACTGACATACACCCGGAGCAACTTTTCAGGATCTCAGACATAAGTTCTTTTTGCCTTCTGCTCCTACAAACACTCCCTCCAAAGTGAATGGTGAATTCCACTCTGTTCTTCCAGAATGATCAAGGTATGTGTGTTTGTGCCGTTACATTCTTCGGGAGCTGCATTAATGCCAGATTTTTTTTCCAAGGTCAACTAACAAAGGCACAATGCTTGCTCAAATACAGCCTCCCCACTCCCTGCCCCAGTCTTTCTGGAAAAGCTATGCTTAATTATGAGTGCACTCTTCAATTCTGGCCTTAGCAGACAAATTATATTCTCCCATTGGCCACCTAATGGCTTTTAAAAGAGAGCTACTGTGAGAAGGCATAGACGTTCATAGAAGAACATGCCAATCAACTGTGCTACTATTAATCATACTGTGAATGCAGAATGCAAGTGGCAAGAGATGCTGTAGCACAAGCAGAGCAACATTGTGGTTGTTTTGAAAAGCCTATTCTTCTGTCCAGTATCGCTGAAAGCTTTTTTCTGATTCTGACTGATCCTCCCAGGTTTAGCCCACTTAAGGGAACCATTAGATAAACCAAGAAAAGGTTTAAATAATAAACTCCGTAAATAAAAGCCAGATCTTTCTGCTTGCTAGAAGAGCTATCTATTTACATATGATATTCTATAGTTGGATGTCTCTTACATAGTTGTTATTTCTCATATTTATATACTGCATGCTCTCAGCAGAGCCAGCCTATAAGTACTAAAGACAAAATATACAAAATATTGTGACATTTTGTAAAATCCTTAAAAAAACAATCGTAACTTCCCCTCTTCCCCCGCCAATAATAAAACAATTTGAAAACGACATTAAAGACTACAGATCAAAATGCACTCTCTGGGGAAAAGTGAAAGAGCAAAAATAGATTCTAATTCCCCCCAATTTCCCTATCCTCCCCAAAAAATGCCAGAAGGAAGCAGCAAAACTATCAGGAAAAGGGAGCTTCATAGCGCTGGAGCCATTTCCAGCATTGCCGATTCCCAAATAAGTCTCTTCCCAGAGTTGCACATACAAAGGCCCTTTATCTGAAGAATGTAACTCCGAGATTACAACATGCACAGGAAATCTTTCCTTCAGGATGGTGGGACTCAAAAGTCTTTCAGAAATGTAGTATCAAGCACCTTGAATCCGATTCAAAAATTTGTTGGTGGGCAGCTTAGCCAAATTGCATCACATGCATAAGATACATCTGTGAGATAAGTAAAGCCACTGCCATTTGGCTCAGAGGCCATTTCCAGTTCTCCTTAAGGAACACCTTTTACACTGAGTATGTTGTAATAGTCCATTTTATAGGTAAGCAAAGCAAAACAATATGATCTCTCCAGAAAAGGTGTGAAATAGCAAATCATATACAGGTTAAAAAAGATGCTCTAGATCAGAGGTGTCAAACTCATGACATCATGTTGTCATCGTGTGACATATCGCAACTTTCCCCCCTTCGCTAAACCAGGGGGTGGGAGTGGCCGGTGAGTGACACATCGGGCCCACATGACGTGAGTTTGGTAGCCCTGCCTTAGTCTAGACTACTTAATTGATCTGTGTATTCAAGGATGGCACAAGGTCCAAGAATCTCTCCAACAAATTGTAGATTTACTCCTTCAGGAGAAAAAAAAAGATATTAATGTAGAATAGGAAGAGTCCCTCCCAATCGTCTGAGAACTCACCAACTACCAAGCCTTCTGACTTGTCCAGATTCAGTTTTAATCCATTGCATTTTAGGCAGACTATCATCTGGTCCAAGCAAAACCAATTCAAAATAGATGCACTTTCAATCTATTTTTGAGAGCACCAAGGCATGATCAAAATTACAATTAACTTGCTCAAAACAAAACAAAACAGAAAACTGCTTTGGGAGTGTGCACTTGGCAGTTGACATCTTGTGCTATAGATTCAGTTTGCAAGAGGTGCTTCAGGATATGCAGGAGTGCAAAAATGGGACCTGCTTATGACTCATTTAAGCAGCTGTGTTGTTTTCCAGGATCATACAATGGCAACTATTGCAGAGAAGTCTTTGCCCGTTGCTACATGATCCTGAAATCAGATGTGGCTGCTTTAATGAGTCACAGACTAATACTACATTTGCATTGCAAGCAAAAACTGAGACAGCATAAAGACCCTACTTTTTCGTTCTCATCCTTTTTGCCCAACTCTCGCTTTCTACTTCCATTCTCAACCAATTCACTACACAGCACCACTTATTTTACATTTCAGTGTTTGCTTTCAGAAAAAAGACAAGCAAATTGAACAAAAACAGGAGCGACTAAATTAGATTACTAATTTGTTTCTTAAAACCAGATGTTTTAAGAAACAAATTAGTAATTAATTTAGTCGCTCATAGTAATTCAAAATTAGGTAAGAGATAGGAAAACAGTTTCTAGATAAAGAATTACTTTTAAAAGGTTATGTTCTATGCTTGAAATGGGAGAAGCACTTGAGTACAATGCAGTGAAAAAATAACCTCTTACGAGATCTATATGGTATATACCAACATGGTATAGTGATTAAAGTGAAGGGCTGAGACATGCCCAAGTTCAAACCTCTATTGAATCATGAATTCACAGGGTGACTATGGACTATGGTAACACCCTCATATTAGAAGGGTTGCTAGCAAGATAAGATCAATAGATCTCCATCCTGCTCCTTTGAGTTTCCAGAGAAAATATGGAATGTAACAATAAAATAGGTAAAAGAGCTGCAGCTAGTGCAAAATAGTAGTTCAGATGCTGAGATGCCAAAGTATGGAAGGCCCAGAACCAAATTAAATTTAATACAAATGGAAAATTCACTCATTTTCCAGCCTTCCCCTTTGTCAATACTGGGCTGATACACCACACCTACTTTCAAGGTAATTTACAAATAATTGCCACCAAGCGATATAAACACTAAAACTACAAACTGTAAAGCTCTGCATAGATTATAATAACTGGCTGGGGCCTGAACACAGAGTAAACTTTGATACAAACTATTATAAATGTTTGTGAATGTTCTGTAGATTTCATTTGTCTTGAATTAAGTATATATTAGTCACAGCCAAAGACCAAGAGCCGCCTTTGGCTTTGTGCACAATGGCAGTATCAAAAGGAGAGGATAAACTCTAAATAGATAAAACTACCTGAAATCTTTTCTGGGAGAGGCTCTGAGGGAACCTCTGGAAGATCAATCTGCTCCTGGAAGAAAAAAATGGTTCTTGTGAAATAAATATTCTAAAGACAGGAAACAGCTTTATATTAACTGTAGAACTTTTAAATGCACAGGAAATAACTATGTTACTTTCTGTCTGCCAATTCTAGAGTTTTGAGCCTGTATTATTTATACTATGCCTCCAACACCTTGACGGGTAATTCTGAATAATTTGGTTAAGTGAAGCTATTGACTCTTCAACGAATAAAGCTCAATTCACAAGGACTGCATGGGGATGGACATGTAGTTTTCTTGCCAACGTTAGAGAAATGGTTTGAAATGGTCTTTTTTCACATCTAAATTTATAGTTCTTGGAATTCCTGGTTCAAAGCTATTCAGTGTTTTTTCTACATCTCCCACAGCTGGCTGGTTGTTGATTACAACACCATGTCTATGGTACTGCATAGCGTGGGACAAGCATAAGCATTTCTTAGGAAATATTGTGGATTGCTCAAATTGATAGCTATGGGTTCATAATAATTCCAGTCGGATACAGAGTCATCATTTTTTATCAAGCAACAATGTATGGTCTCTGAGATACAAACCCTTCCTTTATCCTTGAAACTGCTGGTAGACACTACAGTAGAACTACAGGGGTTTCCAAACTTGTAAGAAGGAATAACCAGAAGATTACTGAGGCACGATTTATTTCCTTCTTTCTTGCTCACAGCAAGAAGATAAGATATAAAGTAAATTCTGATTTGTATTTTCTGCAAATCACTTATTTGCATAATTCTATTTTGAAATCCCCTGGCTGTTGGTTCTGCCTGGTAGCAACATTTGATGATTTCTCAATTTTCTTCAATTGTCCAGGTTTTGTGCTTTTGTTCCAATCGCTTTGCAGTTGCATGCCCTGATTCTCCAGCAGTAACAACTGGGCCCTGTAGCCCATTTTTCGACAGATGTCCAGAAGCCATAGCATCTGACGTGGCCCTTATTGACCCGGGCGACGACCAATCCAGTGTGCAATTTTGTTGATTTCTTCTCATAATTGGTGATGGTAGGTGCCCAGGTTGGTTCACGGTAGCTAAGCCACCACCAATCCGAAGACCAGTAATCCCATAACCACAGGGACTGCACCTGATAGCCGTCCAGGCCCAGCCATGGTGGGGGGAGGAGCGGCAGCTCAACTGCCCATTTGGTGTCAGGAAGGCAGAATTATTATTAAGTTTAAATAATAATATTACAATAAATGAATAATAATTTGAATACATGTTTGAGTTGCATGAATAAAAGAATAATAATAATAATAATAATAATAATAATAATAATAATAATAATAA